GTGTCTGCGTGTATCTGCATGCCCTTGTGTGTAAGAACTGCTAAGTGTTAAATGAGATTCCGCCAGGCCTTCAACGGAATCGATGGGAGAATGACGTTCGAGAATTTACGACGTACCCTCTGATTACTGACTGCAGGACAAACGTCACAGAAAAAAAGCCACAAGTAAACATTCACAGGAAAAACGTCACACGAAAACCGTCACAGGAAAAAAAGTCACGTGGAAAAAAGTCACGTGGAAAAAGTCACCGATAAAAAAGTTGCAAGATAAAATTCAGAGAAAAACACACACTCATAGCGCATCTTGAGACCGTTACGTTAACCTAAAGTAAATGAGGCGTGACTTAACTCCCCTCCTTCATCTTATCGACGCTCTAAGGTTGAGGGTCGTGAGATGAACTACCAGTTGGGTTGGGGGAGGATAGGGGGCGGGCGTGGGGTGAGGGCGGGGTTGCAGTCGGATATTAAGAAGTTACCCTTAAAACAATGCCTTTAAAAAAACAACTTATCATAATTGATTACGTAACACATATTTCGCTACAACTACTCCCATTTTCCATCCACCTATCTAGTACTAGTAGTACACAGCTCCCAACTTCTCCACAACTCCCAGCGTCTCCACAGCTCCATGTCTCCACAGCTCCCAGTGTACCCACAGCTCCGTGTATCCACAGCTCCCAGCGTCTCCACGGCTCCGTGTATCCACAGCTACCAGCGTCTCCACAGCTCCGTGTATCCACAGCTCCCAGCGTCTCCACAGCTCCCAGCGTCTCCACAGCTCCAAGTGTCTCAACAGCTCATAAGACATTCTCCCATCTTACCCGTCACTCATTCCTACCCCATCCTCCACATCCCTCCTGATTTATTCCATCTCTACATACCCCATCCTACAACTCTCCTTGCCCATCCTCCCAATTCTCCCCCCCCCCCCCCCGGGTCCCTAGGTCCAGCTAATCAGGTTCAAAGAGCCGAGAATTCCAGCGGCCACCTTCCCGTAATCACTGGGCCAAATCAGATTTGGCCACGTGACGCGCTCAGTCTACCCAATCAGCTCGGGGGTGGGGGGGGGGGGGGGGGGTACCGCTGGTGGGTGACACGTTCTGCAGTAGATTAATGACAGAGGGGGATGCCTGCAGTACATTTAAGAAGTCAGGGTGTTGGTTGGAGTGTGGGTAGGGTGGGGTGTAACGGGAGGTTGTTGGTGGGGTGGGGATATGGGTAGGGTGGGGTGGGAGTATGGGTAGGATGTGGGTATTGGTAGGGAGGGGTGTAATGGAAGGTTGTTGGTGGGGTGGTGGTATTGGTAGGGTGGGGTTGGTTGTCATGGATCTTGATCTAAATGACTCTAATTGACTTCAATAGAAAATTTTAACAAATGAAACATCGAGGGGGGGGGGGGGGGAATATAAGAAAAGCATGCCTAGTTTTCTTGGTGAGGAAAGTTAAATCAGATAAGGGAGGTATTACTAATTGGGGGGGGGGGGTTAGTTAGGTACAGACGATGTAGTATGTCTGCTATTCGTTAAAATTGGAAGGGGGGGGGGGTAAGGTCCAGAAGATTAAATTTCGAGGGGTGAGGCAACAGAGATTGAATGACGAGGGGGGGGGGTTGCAGGCAAGGCTTCAATATATTACATGTTGGGTGGGGGGGGGGGGTGTTAGGCTTCGATAGATTAATTGGAAGAAGGAAAGGGTAGTGGCTGCAATAGATTGGTAGACTGCAAGATATTAAACGATTGCAATAGATTACATGACTGCAATAGATTGAATGACTGTGAGGAAATGATTGGGGGGGGGGGGGGCTGCGGTAAGATGACGTTGGTCTTGGTTCGGTCGGGGGGGCATATGCGCGTGGTAGAAAGAATGAGAGGGGAGGGTGAGGCGGCAGTAGATTGACAGTTTTCTAGGGCGAGAATGTCCAGATACGTAAGATCTCCAGACTCTGAGGGTGGGGGTGGCTGGGGGCGGGGGGGGGGGGGGGGGGTGATGGGCTTGTCGTGGTGGGATTAAAAAAACATGGAGGCTCAAGTGGCGGGTGGTGAGCGGATGTTAAGAAAAACGGAATAAAATCTAACACTTGGCTGTGTGGTTGTGTGGGTTTGTGTGGTGGTGTGTGTGTGTGTAGTTGTGTGGATTTGTGTGTGGGAGGAGTGGGTGCGCGAGGTTGGAAGGTCCTAACTTCTAAAGAATGTTTCATACTAGATCTAAGTGAAAAATGATAATTAATGATGAGGTGGGGTGCGGGCGGGCGGGCGGGCACGTAACGGACAGACCGTCCGTCAATCAAACATGTTTGCAGACATGAAGAAAGACAGGCGCTAAGCGAGGATTCCTCAATTATATTTTAAAAAAGGTATGGAAAAAGTCTGGAGTTTTTCTGGTACTGTCGTATATAAATGGTGTTGTTGAGATGCCTTTGTAGATGTGGAGGGGTGGGTGTGATTCTATATGTATGGTGTGGTTCTAATGTTATATATATATATATATATATATATATATATATATATATATATATATATATATATATATATATATATATATATATATACGGTGTGTGTGTGTGTGTGTGTGTATATTCGGAACAAGACGACGCAACCCTTATGACGCAGAACCTAGTGACGCCCAATGTATACATTATTTATCTCTTATGTAAATAATTTCTTATTTATATATAATTTGTATGCGTTTGTATAATCTTTTTATCCAGTTGAAGTTTTTCAAACATTTCACTACAAAGAGCCCTGTGTTCCTTCGTCATGCGTGCATTAATGACGTAGTGCACAAAATCTAAAGTTAGAACTGGTACATTTGCATCTGAAACAAAAATGGTGCTTTTAATGGTGAAGATCCGCCCCGGACCGGAAATACAACGGATTTTCTTGAATATTTTAGACACGGAAAATCTCTGCCAATCACACGTCGTGGACATCGGGTTTTTCCAGTGCAATGTCACGCGCTTAGGGGACATGACGTCATTGTTAGAGACCAATATAATAGGACACAGAGGGTAGTAGGACCAGAAGAGCTAGTACTGTTAGATATCCAACAGGACGCACTGTCCCCACGTTTAATATTTTCCAACTTTTGTCGGCGTTTTATTTTTAACTGAATTAGAAATATTAGACGTAAAGGTTGTTTTTAATCCCTCCCCCCTCCCAGATAATTAGACCGTTACAGCAAAAAGTCATGTAATCTATCATTTACCTAAATTCATAACATCCACCCAAGTGCCCCACAATGGTATTTCATTAACAATGTATATCGCGGCATTGATTAAAACAGCATCGGTTTATGTATAATAATTTTTTTTTGTAAATTTATTAGTGATGTTGATATTGAAATTTCTGCAGTAACAAATTAAAAATATTTACACTTTTAGATATCAACAATTATTACCCAGCTTAGAAAAAAAGGAAGAAAAATGTGCATATCTTTTTAAAAAGGAAGTTTTACCGATTAGTTTACCCCCATATTTTAATGGTCCAATTTGCAGCGCAGCGGCATCGGTCCAGTTGCCCAGAAGGACGTCTTGACATTTTCTTCAAATACGACCAAACTCATATTCCAGATTTTTCTGCGGGCCAATAAAAAAATTAGCAGACCATAAAACAATCCAGATTTGGCCGACAATTTTTACGATCGCTCTGACACCCCAAAACTTTTTCCAGCTCGCGCATGTCTCCAGCTTGTGTGCGCATGCGTGAGTGGCCCGTCACGCGCGGCTCAGTAATAAACTCATTTAACCGTTCTTGAAAAATTGCGTCCTCTGCCGCACCGCTAAGATAAGGCTCAAGTACCGTCTTGCACCGCGCTGGTGCGCAATCGTGAGCCGGTCTTTTTTTGGGAATCCCCGATAAGATTCTTGTTACATTTGTCTCGTGGCTGTTGGTTAACTCACAAAAAATAAAATGCTGTTGGAGTTTGGTCTGAAAACTAGAAGTGGTTTGTTGCAATAATTGAAATACACTTAAAAAAAAACCCACACTAGCTGGACACACAAATTAGTAACTAGTTTGTGTTCGATATAGTTTAATAACAAAATAATAATTAAAAAATTGAACAATAAAAATCAAGGACCTCGGTATGTGTCATGACCCTCCGTGTTTTATTGTTTCGTTAGTACACTCTTAGGATTCGCTCTAGTTTACTGACGTCACTCACCAACTATTCTCAACTCTACGAGACACCACACTACACCACACTCCACATAAACCATACCACAACCCTACCGCTTCTCTCCTCCACCCATCCACACCCCCAAACCACACCTCTCACACTAGACTATACCATTCTCCCACAACACACTACAAAATAGTACCAAACCCCTTCCAACATACCCCACATTAGACCATACACCCTCACACCACCCCCACATTCCCACACCATAATACCCACACTTGACCATACAAGTAACTTACCATCCTCCCTCCCACCACACACCACACTATACCATACACCCTCACACCACCTCCCCCCACCCCACCAGCCACACAAACAGACCAAGTGTTAAAACCTTGTGCCCGGCCCTCTAGTTCCCCTCCCCCAGAACCCCCGCGCCGATGTCATGTTTATTTGTTCCCTTACCTTTTTTCTCCTTATATTCTTTTCATTTCCTCCTTCCGCCCCCCGCTTGTTTATTTCTTCACGGCTGTATTTATTTGAACGCCCCCACCCTCCCCACCTCGCCACATCCAAACATTCACGCAATGACTTACATAAAGAGGAAAAAAACACACCGGAACAATGGAGGCGGACCTTTAAAAAAACGACCGACCTCACCAGCGACCACTAGAGATTTGAGGCTCAAAGGATTCCAGACTTGCAGGCACAGGCGTGATATTCCTTGCGAGAATTTTTTTCTCCCTCGCCTCGTTTAATCAGAGGACGCGAGTTCCGCTGTATCTAATATCGGGGGTGGGGAGTTTGGGGGTATCAGGGGTGATGGGAACTCGGGGTATTGTCGGGGTTGGGAAGAACTCGAGGTGGTGGGGTGTAGGGATATCAGAGGTGAGGGTAGCTCGGGGTATCATGGGTGGGGGAGCTCGGGGTATCAGGGGTGGGGGAGCTCGGGGTATCAGGGGTGGGGGAGCTCGGGGTATCAGGGGTGGGGGAGCTCGGGGTATCAGGGGTGGGGGAGCTCGGGGTATCAGGGGTGGGGGAGCTTGAAATATCAGGGGTGGGGGGAGTTCTGAGTATCATGAGTGGGGGGAGATTGGGGTATTAGAGTTGGGGGAGCTTGATGTATCAGGGGTGGGGGAGTTCTGAGTATCATGGGTGGGGGGGGGGGGAGCTCAAGGTATCTCTGAACGGTTTCTAAGAGCTGGTGCCAGAGCTGCCCACGGCGACACAGAACGTGCTTGGCGGTGACCCAGGGACGACATCCGGGGTAGCTCTCTAGGCTGATGTATGCCGAGCTTAAAATTGAGAGCTACGGCTCAAGTTTAAGTAGAGAGCTAAGATTGAGATTTATGACAAGAGCTAAATTGAGCTAGTTACGAGAACAAAAAAGCGAAGATTAGGTGAGCTTGACTGAGCTAAAACATGAGCTATGAAAGTTTTACCCTTACTCCGTAGTGTGACGAGTAAAGTTTGCCGGTTCAAATGGTACTTGTGTGTAGGCTGCGATATGGTTGTGTTGAAAGGTTCGTACTAATCTGTGTAGGTAAACTATTGTCTTACATACAGAGGCTCAATATCATCTTAAATACAGAGGCTCAATATCATCTTACATACAGAGGCTCTGTATCATCTTACATACAGAGGCTCAATATCATCTTACATATAGAGGGTCATTATCATCTTAAATACAGAGGCTCAATATCATCTTACATACAGAGGCTCAATATCATCTTACATACAGAGGCTCAATTTCATCTTACATATAGAGGGTCAATATCATCTTACATACAGAGGCTCAATATCATCTTACATACAGAGGCTCAATATCATCTTACATACAGAGGCTCAATAAATCTTACATACAGAGGCTCAATATCATCTTACATATAGAGGGTCAATATCATCTTACATATAGAGGGTCAATATCATCTTACATACAGAGGCTCAATATCATCTTACATACATAGGCTCAATATCATCTTACATACATAGGCTCAATATCATCTTACATACAGAGGCTCAATATCATCTTACATATAGAGGGTCAATATCATCTTACATACAGAGGGTCAATATCATCTTACATATAAAGGGTCAATATCATCTTACATATAAAGGGTCAATATCATCTTACATACAGAGGCTCAATATCATCTTACATACAGAGGCTCAATATCATCTTACATACAGAGGCTCAATATCATCTTACATACAGAGGGTCAATATCATCTTACATATAAAGGGTCAATATCATCTTACATACAGAGGGTCAATATCATCTTACATACAGAGGGTCATTATCATCTTACATTCAAAGGTTTAGTATCTTACATACAGAGGGGTAAATATTCTCGCAGACATAGAATTCTATATGTTACTCTCTTGATCGCATGCTGTTATAAATTTGCTGAGAGTACAGCTCTTTTTGGTACCCTGCCTTGTTGCTTCATCGCATAATGATCTGCTGGGTCTCAAATTTACTGTATGAAAAATGTAGAAACATACGCATTAATTCATGATTAATCATCTATGTAGTTAAATTATGTAGACTATGTTTGAAGAAACTAAATATCTTACGAAATTTAGAGAAAAAATCTGGTACTTTCTTGCACTCTGCAAGATTTCTGTTCTCTCCCCACCGAAGTATGGCCGGGAGTCAGGGCGATTAACCCCTCTTAGCACTAGCGTTTAGTGTTGCCCGCCCTAATAAATCAATGTAATATCCGCAAATCATCTGGTTAGACTCCTACTATTTCTATAATATCATATACCACATAACTAGAATAAATATATAAGCTAGATTTTCATACTGACTTTTATGTGAAGATTTCATAAAGTCATACAAAACATTTTCCTTCCTTTTATTGAGTAATCGTAATTTTAATTAACCAGGTAGATGTTCACGCCATAAATTAATTTTTTAAATTAAAATTGTTTGCGAAAAAGTGGTAAAGGGTAGGAAGGTTTCGCTAAGGTAGTTCGCATTTTACCCAAGCAAGCTACGGTTTTTCATACTGAGGCGAGGTTAGCTCCGGGGCTTAAGTCAAGCAGGAGGCCAGATTACCCGGAATGCCACCGATCTCAACTCACTTCCGGTCAGGCGCATGACCCGAAGCGGGTACGTGATACTCTTGCGAAGGTCACGTATCGCGAAGGTCACGTATCACGAAGGTCAACTACCGCGTAAATTAACGTAGTTCAACTTGTATTTTGTATGTGTGGGGTTCTAAACAGACTCACACAAGGCTATAAATAGATTACAAAATGGCAGCGAGCCATGGGACTCTTTGGTCATCTCGCCTTCTTATGACGTCATTTATTGTTTTGGGTTTTTATATTTTGATTTAAAAACCAATGGAATAAAAATATTTTGACATTGTAAGTATTTTGCAGTTTAGACATTCTACCCCCCCCCCCCCCGCCCCACCCCACCCCCTCACTATTCCAGTATGGCACAATTTTCCAGAGAATGCAATTATTAAGAAGCCAGAACAATTTTCAGCTATGGTTTCAAAAAAAAATATCTGGCCAAACCGGCAGTTTCTGGCCGCTTGGAGCGCTGGTTTCAAATGTCTTTTCCCACAATCCCCCGCAAGCTGAGAATAGAACAGAACATGATTGTGTGAGTGTGTGGGTGGGAGTGCATGTGTGTGTGTGGGGGGGGGGTGGACTACGCCATACCTCACCCTCCAGCTTACAGAAATATAGAGTTACGTTCGGAGCGCGGTGTTTGCGTTCGTGATCGGTTCCAGAATATTCCAGGAGGAAAAAAAATATATAGTGGGTGTAACGGTTTTTTTTTTTTACTCCAGACGCATCCCCCCCCCCCCCCTCGCCCTACCCCCCTCTCCCAAAAAACGCGTTGATGCTTGCCTTGGAAATTAAAAGGACGAAATGACTCGTGGAGAACCTGACCGCTCTAGAACCTCGTGATTCCCCCACCCCCCACCCCGACCCCCGACACCCGCTCATCTAGAATGACGGGGTACATGAAACTGAACAAATTACAGCCCTACAACCCTGCTCCCCACCCCACCCCCACCCACACTCCTGCACCCGAGGTGTGAAGTTTCGTTTTACTTCACTCCCCCCCCCCCCCCACCAACCCCACCCCACACCGTCGAACAATTAGCGAGAAATGAAAATATCCCGCGAGAAGACAAAACGAAAAACGAAATTTCCATTCAGCCTGGGCGCGGAGTGAGAAATCACAACAAACCGGCTCAACGCTTTGGCCGGCTGTGGACGCAACATAAGCCGTACGCAATATCCGGCTTCATAAAAAATTATTTGAGAAAATCAGAGTTAATAAGATAAACGTTATGTTTTTTAAATTTTGTTGATTTTCAGCGAGATATTATTATAAGGACATTATACAGTGTTTATTATACATACAAACATATATATATATATATATATATATATATATATATATATATATATATATATATATATATATATATATATATATATATATATATATATATATATATATAATAAAAACATATCAAAATACATATAATCAAAATATAGGCCTATATAATCAATATATATATATATAATCAAAATTAATATAATCAAAATATTATAATCAAAATATATGTAGGAGTATTAAGTCAAATATACTTTCAAGTAGATATTGAAAGGGTAGATAATTCATTATAAACATCATTACTCGGCACTGTATTGTCTACCCCTTAACTGGCTCTCAGTGTTATGAAACCCGGAGTTCTTGGTGTAACATTCACTATCCATGTCTACCTGGAACACTTTGATACAGGTAGACCAACATTTCATATCATTGTCTACAGGATAACTTCCGCTATGTTCGAATTAAAAGGGTTTCACTTGTAAATTATAAAGCAATTCCAAAATGGTCAATTTTTTATATTTTTATCCATGTTTTACTGACTATATTACAGTGCGCATTTATTCGACGTTCATTTCGAATATTTTTTTAAGCGGAAGTTTTGTTTTCTGTTTTAGCATTATGTGAGACGGCAATCATCTTGCTATGATATCCCTCCCCGTTATTTTTTTCTACTTTTCACTATCCTCCCTCCAGTATTAACTACTACAAAGCCCCCCACCCCAACCTCCCCCACCCCCGTCGTGGGAATTAAAGTAACTATCACAAGGATGAAGCCAACATTACTTTGCATGGGCTGGCCTGCCCACATCCCCGAGTGCCGGGCAAATGAGATTGCCGGGTGTTGCGGGGCCGGGGGTTTGGATCAACTGACGTGTGAAAATGACCAGAAGTCGCCGCCGGTGCCCACGTTTCATGCCCGCATGGACGCCTGCCTGACGCGGATCTGATGCCCCGTGCCAGTGCCGGGCATGACTCAACCGGCGTCCGGTTCTTCTCCGGCTAGACACAAAGGCTGGGCTGTAAAAATTCGGATCGTATCGTCGGCGGTTGGTACGTGAACGAAACAATACATCGGCGCGAGCGGAAGTGAAACAATTAAAAAGTACTTTTTATACGAGTTTTTTTACTTCATATTTTACAACAACGTTAGCTACAAATCTGCATAATGTTATCGTTTACAAAATGAAAACGAGTATAACTAACATCGATACGGCTTTTGAGTGAGGAATATATTTGTTACGTCATTTTCAATATCAACTGTTCAAAAATGTAACTATCGGTTCGAACAATAACAACAATATTTAAAGAAAAATGAAAATATACCCCCCCCCCCCACCCCAACATAGTTAGCAAGTTTGAACACAATCCTCGGAGTGACGTCATGATTCAACTAAAGCCCGATTGTAAAGTTGCCGAAACACCAAAAGGGCCGTCGCTTGTATTAGTCTGGTTGAAGCAGCGCCTCCGTTTTAATTAAGGTGATGTGTATGGCGGAACGGACATGGGGGAGGGGGGCAGGGGGTTGAAGGGTCGGGTCGATCGTCACATGGGGTCGAGGGGGGGGGGGCGATGGGGAGCCGCTGGGGCATATCATTGTTCCAGAAGTTTGAGAAGATGGTCAGTGACGTCATACGGGTGGGGTGGGGCGCGGGAGGTAATTCTGTTACGTGGAGACGTTGAAAGAGTCGGGTGTGAGATGGGGAAGCCTGGGGATTGTAGGGATGGTGTGGGAGCTGGGGATGGTGGGCCAGTTGATCGACTCACAGCCCGCAATACGTGAAGACAGCCGAGGTGTCCGTTACTTCCCGTACGTCCGCACAGCTAGCGATCGCTGGGTGGCTGGTACGGTAGACAAAGGTTGTAGACATCAGGGCATGGAAGAAGCCATCCACGGCAAAAGACGGACAGCGGACCAGTTTGCTTTGTTGTAGGTTGTCTAGAGGGGATGAAGGGGGAGGGGGATGAGTGGACATAGGTTATTGCCCTTTAGGAGGAAGGGGAAGAAACCCTACAAATTGTGGCGATACAGTTTTATTTACAACAGAACCGGAAGTATAAACTCCGCCATTTTAATGTGTCATAAAGGAATGGTCACACAAGACACTTTAAAACTGACACTAAGATAACGACACAAGACGCGTTTAACGTGACACTAAGATAACGACACAAGACGTGATTAACGTGACACTGAGCTAACGAGACACAAGACATTGTCTCGAGACACTCGACTAGCTGGGTTCCCAGAAAGAACCGCAACGGAAAAAAGCGCAACGGAAAAAAGCGCAAATCAAAAAGCGCAACGGAAATAAGCGCACACGGAAAAAAGCGCAAAGAGAAAAAAGCGCACACAGAAAAAAGCGCAAAGAGAAAAAAGCGCAAACGGAAAAAAGCGCAAAGAGAAAAAAGCGCACACAGAAAAAAGCGCAAACGGAAAAAAGCGCAAACGGAAAAAAGCGCAAAGAGAAAAAAGCGCACACGGAAAAAAGCGCAAAGAGAAAAAAGCGCAAACAGAAAAAAGCGCAAAGAGAAAAAAGCGCACACAGAAAAAAGCGCAAACAGAAAAAAGCGCAAACGGAAAAAAGCGCAAAGAGAAAAAAGCGCAAACGGAAAAAAAGCGCAAACAGAAAAAAGCGCAAACGGAAAAAAGCGCAAACAGAAAAAAGCGCACACAGAAAAAAGCGCAAACAGAAAAAAGCGCAAACGGAAAAAAGCGCAAACAGAAAAAAGCGCACACAGAAAAAAGCGCAAACGGAAAAAAGCGCAAACAGAAACAGAAAAATGCGCAACCAGAAAAAACACAACGAAAAATGTGCAAAAGAGAAATTTAGCACAAATACCATATGGACTAGATGACACATTTATACATGACTGTTAGGGCTGCTGTGAGAGTGTCGTGTTTGATCACGTGATCTACTACCATTTAAAGCGTACCACCACCATCTGCATTCCCATCACCACGATACAGGCGATAATCACTTTACACAATGCCTATTATTTTCTTGGTCAATAATTATTCAACTACTATTCTCGTATAAACATAAAACTATCGACATTACACGAAGTATCTTTCACATTCTCCCTAGTCCGAACTACCTAGCTTGCATACTATAACAACCCGTTCCTATGGCAAAACTTCACTCTCTTTCATCCGCGTCATCAAACATGCATTCGTCATATCTCTCGTAACAACATTCATTCGCACCAAAATAACAATTTTGTATTTAATATTTTTTCACATCATGACGCACCTACCTACCTACCTACTACCCACCTACCCACCTACCTACCTAACTACCCACCTACCCGCCTACATACTTACCAAACTACCCACCAAAAAGTATCGGCGAAGTTCGTAAGTTTCGTAAACTGTACTAGACATCTTTTTTTTAATGAACATTCATTGACATCATTGACATACGTTACATATATGTTACATTTTGCGACAACCTTAATTAGTGCGTTGGGCTTGTATGAAAACTCACTTCGAACTAACTCAATTAAAGGCTATTTATTTTAACATTACACGGTAAGCGTCACCCAACTGTTGTGATGTGAGGTGAGGACAGGTTCGACAATAAACCAACACGAAAGTACGAAAGAGACATAGATTGCCTATTAGAGAATGGACCCCTTAACTTTCCTAACCCCACCATTTATTATACCCTACCTAACCTCTAAATTTACTGCGCTAAATGTCACTTCCCTCCCAATCGTTCCTATTCTACAGAATTGTGTATACTATTTATTTACATTCTTTAATCTCAATATAACTAAAATAGACTTTTGTTTGAAGGGTAATGAAAACATGTAAACAAAAGGGACGCTACTCTAAATCTATGCGAATACTTATATGCAGTGGCGTAGGCAGGGGGGGTTTATGGGGGGTCATAACCCCCCCCCCCATAGACCCCTCGGTATATATATATATATATATATATATATATATATATATATATATATATATATATATATATATATATATATATATATATATATATATATATATATATATATATATATATATATACGAAAAGTTTACGAAACTTACGAACTTCGCCGATACTTTTTTGGTGGGTAGTTTGGTAAGTATGTAGGCGGGTAGGTGGGTAGGTGGGTAAGTGAGTAGGTGGGTAGTTAGGTAGGTAGGTGGGTAGGTGGGTAGTAGGTAGGTAGGTAGGTGCGTCATGATGTGAAAAAATATTAAATACAAAATTGTTATTTTGGTGCGAATGAATGTTGTTACGAGAGATATGACGAATGCATGTTTGATGACGCGGATGAAAGAGAGTGAAGTTTTGCCATAGGAACGGGTTGTTATAGTATGCAAGCTAGGTAGTTCGGACTAGGGAGAATGTGAAAGATACTTCGTGTAATGTCGATAGTTTTATGTTTATACGAGAATAGTAGTTGAATAATTATTGACCAAGAAAATAATAGGCATTGTGTAAAGTGATTATCGCCTGTATCGTGGTGATGGGAATGCAGATGGTGGTGGTACGCTTTAAATGGTAGTAGATCACGTGATCAAACACGACACTCTCACAGCAGCCCTAACAGTCATGTATAAATGTGTCATCTAGTCCATATGGTCTTTGTGCTAAATTTCTCTTTTGCACATTTTTCGTTGTGTTTTTTCTGGTTGCGCATTTTTCTGTTTCTGTTTGCGCTTTTTTCCGTTTGCGCTTTTTTCTGTGTGCGCTTTTTTCTGTTTGCGCTTTTTTCCGTTTGCGCTTTTTTCTGTTTGCGCTTTTTTCTGTGTGCGCTTTTTTCTGTTTGCGCTTTTTTCCGTTTGCGCTTTTTTCTGTTTGCGCTTTTTT